CCAGGAAGACACAATGACCTAGCACCGGGGTAATGATTCGCGATACGTTTCGATGCCAGCCATGCCGTTACGCCGCGCCACGCCCGCGCAATTGACTCAACCAGCATGCTCGCCTTTGTGTGACCGTAGTCGGCTCTCACATGAGCTGGCGAAGTGCTACATACAGGAGTTACTGATTATCTTAGATCCAAGCTAATCTGGTATTGCAGCACTGAGGTGTTTGCGGCCCCTCTGTGGTCATTCAATCAGACATGTGCTCACTGCCGCCATGCCCAAGTCGTGCATCTGAGCCTCAGCACCCGCGACTTCATATATCAGCTACGTCGTCCCGCGATGCAATTTTTCCAGTCGCTCAGCGCATTCAATTCTAAGATGCTACCATCCTCATCCACTTTCTCTTTCCTTGCGCCGTCTCGCTATGGCGCAACGACATCATACAACACTACATACTCGTCGTCACATACCTTCTCTCCTCTTCAGGCTCCACGACCCTACCTACGGCCAGACACGATTTCCTTGACCTTTTATAAAGAGTTCCTAAAGAATGTTTGACCGCATCACTCTTGCGGTGCCTTCTCTTCACAGTCCTTTTCGTCCCATGATACTGCGGTGACGCGACGCAGACGAGCGACTCACGACTTCCGAAATGCACTTGTGCCCATCTAGTCAGGTCCTCTCAAAAAGAGTGAAGGGTCGTCAATACAAGAGCTCTTCACAGAGCGCCGTCGTCACAAGTCACTGCACGCCCGTCATCTCTTCTCATCTCCTTTCTTCTCCACGGGCTTCATGGCCCATATATACGGCTCGGAATCACCTTCTGTCTCTTCAAAAAAGAGCTTCCAGGTAACGTGTCGACGCAATACACTGCATTGCGAGCGATCGGCGTGACGCATCACGGGCGCCCTGCTGAGCCAGTAGAGGCTAGGCTTCCCGTATATGACCTGAAATTACCGCCGACGCCCTCTAGCCTCGTAATTATATCAGTAATGTTTTACAAGGTGGTCCGAGCCATCGCTGTCGGTCGAGTGTCTCGTAGATAGAGGAGGTATCAGTGAATAACTGGACTTGTTGCGGTCGGACGCTTTCCCTGAAGCGAGAGGGCACCCCACCACATTTTGGACTCAGGCCACTGACCGCACGCGACTTCCTCCTCTTTTCTTCTCATCGAAAGTAGACGGTGCTTCAGAGCGACATCGACGACGGTACATTATGTCGGACCTTTATTTCCCCCCGGAGTTGGTCAACAACACCATCAGCGACTTCATGTACACCTACGGGTTCGCAGAGGCGAGTCTGCTTCGCGGAGTCAGCAGTAAGTGCTCATCTGGCGGGGCATGTATGCATATCGCCCAGAGTCTCCTCCAGTCCCCAGGCGACGCAGAGACAAGGATGATATAAGCGGCCAAACTGACAACGCTTCTTCAGGGACCTGGAAGGCCGCCATCGACGCCCGCATTGCAGTACTACCAATCGAGGCCTTTGTCCCACTGAACGTCATGACCCGCGCCATATTCAAGAGCGTCCGCGTACCCTATCTCGCTAATCGGGCGTGCGAGGACTGGACTGTACTCACTGGCGAGCGCGACACCCTTCCTAAGTACATCAAGTCATGGGTCAACTGGCTCATCAACAACGACGTAGTGAGCGCAGGAGATGAGTATGCGACCGCGCTCATGCTGAGCAAGCAGTTGCATATCGCGTGCAAGTCTGCTTTCGAGATGGCGAGTTACAGGAAGTCGAGCAAGACATTTCAGCGTGTGTTGCCATACTTCACCGACAACAGCGCGGGAATTCAGCTTGCTGTTATAGCGGCGGTTGGTAACCTCGATGCCCTTAAATCTGCTGTCAACTCATACGGCTCCGATCTGCTCTGGGACGTCTCATACACCTTTGGATCTTCGCTCGCTGCAGCCGCTGGTGGTGGTCACGATGACGTCGTCCAATACCTCCTGGATTACTTCGTGACGAACCACCGTATGTATCCCATGGAGCAGTACGAGGCAGCCTTTAGGGGCGCCATCGCTACAACCCTGGGTCAAGGTAATACAGACATGTCGGTACGGCTCCTCCATGTATATCACCAATACTTCCCCGCGGTCCCCAAGCTCTTGCTTAGCAGTTGGATTGCTATGGCGGCCAAACATCCGGACGATCGCGTCTCTGTAAGGTTGCTGGAACTTCGCACTGAGCCCGGTCTTCGCGAGTGTCTCGGAAAGTTCAAGCTCGTCTGTAAGACCAACAGCAAGCCCGTGTTCGATGCTTTCCTCAGGCTACGTTCCATGAACCTCAACCAAGGATACCTCGAGAAGAAGGTCGCTTTCCGGTGTCCTCTTTCCGAGGCCGTGGGTGTGGGCCATTTTAGTCCGGTCAGGTCACTCCTCTACCACGGAGCACACGCGGATGGGGTACCGACTTGTCGGCCTTGCGATCTTCCTCTCTGGCTCGCCGTCCAGCGTAATAGCCTCGAGATCGTTGCCGTGCTCTTATCATATGGCGCTGATATCGAATCCATTGTCCAGTTGTGGATCGACAGCGATGACCAGTTCAAGGAGGAGCGCGGCGCCATTATGATGCATCTCAACATGGTATCCCAACAGCGTGGCGCTCAATGGGACGCTGCCATGGGCGGTCCCCAGCAGTCGTAGGTTGTGGTAGCGCGGCGAGGGGGCTGCCGAGGAGGTTGCCGGCTACACTCCAGTCTTGGATCGCGAAGAGCTGCGCGTAGGGGCAACGTCGGCCCCAACGTCCGTGCTTGACCGGTGCACGGATAGGCGCCACGACAACAAACCTCAGCTCGCACCTTCACTCCTGTGGCTAGAACGCCCCCCTTCACCACGTCACCGTCCACGTCCCTCGAAAAGCGATTGAGAAAAGAGCATGGGCTTCATGTAGACGAGATCCCGGGTCTTCATTGACGAGGAGCGAGGATACTCGAGCTTATGATTGGGATGGTTATCGAGTATTAGAGTATGGGGCTAAGTAGGGTCTTTGGGCGTTGTGGAATTGTGTTCCAGAAGCTCAAGTCTTATATCGGATGGCTTTTACCAACTCTTGAAAATTACAAACTTCATTCAAAATATGTTTGTGATTGTCCTTCGTGCTCAATATCACACCCTCTCTCTCCTGGAGATTGATGCCTGTCTAAGTACGATGTCGAACCTGTACGCGGAAGAACGAGAGCACTTAGTAAACCTCTTAACATTGCCACCTTCAAGAACACCCAGCTCCCGATCTCAAAACTCTCAAGCCCCTCCTTCTCACACCTCCTCAAGCCCCACCATCCCAAAGCTCTCCTTCCACAACCTCTCCTCACCCTGCTCATCATACGCCCACGCCGCATACCCCTCATTAGCACTCTCATACATCCCCTCCTTCCCCGCCTCCTCCTCTCTTGTCCCCATCTCCGCCAGACTAGCCAAATACCTCCCACCCTTGTCCTTCCACTCCTTACCCACCGCCGCATAAACCTGCGTCGCAGCCCCCTGCCCTACATCCTTGAACGTCCGCAATATCTCCGGGTCCCCAAACATCGCTTGTTTGGTTTCTTCGGAGACATGCACCCCCAGTCCAGATCCCTCGATAATACCGCCTGGGTGCACAGACGTAGCGTGGAGATGGTGGGATGAGTAGTGCCGCTCGATGGAGTTTGCGAACCAGATGTTTGCTGTTTTGGACTGGCCGTATGCGTTCCAGGGTGAGTAGGGCGTGCGCTCGTAGTTGTAATCATCAAGATGGACGCTGGACCAGATGTGCGCCATGCTGCTGAGGCTGACGTAGCGGCTGGGGTACTCGGGCGTTGCGGACGAGAGTAAAGCGTCTTTGAGGAGGTGGAAGAGGAGGAAGTGGCCGAGGTGGTTGGTGCCGAATTGGGTTTCGTAGCCGTCGACGGTTTTGCCGTAGGGGGTGGCCATTACGCCTGCGTTGCCGATGATGGCGTTGAGCTTTCCGTTGGTTTTGGTGAGGATCTCTTTGGCGGCTTTGCGGATGCTGGTGAAGCTGTCGAGTTCCATCTCGATCAGGTCGATCTTCCCGCCTCCATTGTGTTTCTCGGACAGGATTTTGTCGACGACAGCTTGGCCTTTTGGTATGTTGCGCACGGTTCCGAGGACGTGGGCACCGGTTGTGTGCAGCGAACGAAGGGTTTCGATGCCAAGGCCGGAAGACACTCCTGTGATGAGGAAGACTCTATCGGTCAACTTGCCGGTCAGACCCTCGTCGCGAATGACTTGGAGGGCTGTAGGACGAGCGTCGCCTGCGCCGCGAAGGTTCGCGATTTTGTGAAGCTCGGCATATTGGGCCATTGCTGGAACGGTGGTTATTCGGGGAATGGAATCGGACTTGACAAGGTGCTTCTCCGCTAACTTGGAGGTAATAGATGTTGATGAAGCAAGTCTTGTATGATGAGTTGTGGATTTGAGCGTTTTCGAAAGCTCTTCTCTGCTATATAAATACTACGGTCTGTGGAAGGCATCTGGTAACATATGTTAGCATCTGCTTCCCTTCCTCTATCTCCACGTTAATCCCTTAACTCCGTCGCATAATGGCCCGAATATGTCTTGTCTTATGGACAAATTTTGGTCCGTCTCCGAACGGCGGTCTATTTGACCTAGTAGATGCAAAACTTACTTACAGATGGTTGAATTGGTCGTTCCGCTAAAAAGTAACACGGTGTATACGATGTTGTTCAGGATTGGATGATGTGTTGCGGTGGCTTGCAGGCAATGACGTCGGACCGAGCGAAGTCCGAAGCCACACATGCTGACCGGCATCATCAGGGCACTTATCTCATGCATTCTAATGCGCCGCAAAGTGTCGAAGATGGGAATTGATGCGATGAGACTTGTTTGTAATCAGGATCAATATCCTGATTTGTTATTCAATCGCAGTCACTACGCGTCGTGCCTACTATGTATCATGTCTGACAAGGTGGCAATTGGCGCAACACTTGCCGATTCTCATTATTTCGCCTTCACCCCACAGCTATGGCAACTGACTCATCTCTACGCGCTCCCAAAACTCTCCCTCTTGACTGCCAAGAAAGTCAAACTCCATAGCTGGCGAATGTTGCTCTCAGTCGCGGTCAACGAGCCCAGCTGCTCGATCTGATAACCGTTATCGTATTTCCAACTCCATACCTCATGGCTTAGCTGCTCGCGGTTGGCGTCAATGGTATCCCAAAGGCTATTGTACGCAGAGAGGACCTTGTCATAGACTGTGAAGTCTGCGCAGAAATCTACGATGCTGACTTAGCAATCACATGATAGAGAAACGTGACAATGCATCAGGATATCGACTTACCGGGCGCACCCTCCTTGTCACATCGACCAAGTTGTCGCGCAAGCCCAGCGCCCATCATGGCAAGCTGCCAGCTCCATACTACAGTGCCGTGGTAGTCGTCCGTTGAGAAACCTGCTTCGAATGTCGCATTTCCAGCGTACGCAGGGTTCGCAACGAATAGTCCAATGTCGCTCGATAGGCCAACCGGGAAAGGTTGGAGGATGTGATCGGCGGTCTGGCTGATGTATGCCGTCAACTGGGTTTGGTTCGTGGTGTCGAGGAGGAAGTGGCGGAAGCAGTCATCGCTATTGACGACAGGCACAATGGGTGCACCGACTTCGCCGTCAAGAGCGACGCCATAGTATGTGACATTACTTGTGATCTTGTCGACATTTGTTTGAAGAGTAAGGTTGGCGTTCGAGACGTAGTCCACAATAAGAGATTTGGCGTCGGCCTGTGGGACGGTGACTTCGAAGAAGCGTAATGTCTCGTCCTCCCAAATCTGGGCGTACTCATCGGCCTCTTCGCACCAGGCTGGGTGGTCGGAGAAGAAGCCCGCGCGGCTCAAACTTGCGATTGCCCGGAGTCCGGCAGGTACAAGCGCAGTATTGACGTTATACGGGATGCGACCTCCTCCGAGGCCATTACTAGAGTCCCGCCACTCGCCGACTATCTCGCCTTCCTTGAGGTGGATGAGGTTCTCCTTTACTTGAATCTGCGCAAATGGTGCAGCAATCCGCATGATCTTTTCAGCGGTGAACTGGGCCAGCTCAGAATACGCCAGTCCGTCGTTTTCGACTAGGAATGTTGCGGTCTTGGTGAAGAAAGCATCCGAACGATTCTTTCCAGCATCCGTATCTACGAAGTAGCTGTTCATGGAAATAGGAAGCATGAAGTCCGTGTCGATCATCTTGTAGTCACAGCCAGGTGCGCTGGATTTAATTCCCTTCTTCCTGTTCAGCCATGTCGCATAGTCGCCGAGGACCTCCTCGTGACACACAGTACCATCAGTGCGATTGACTCGCTCGAGGACAGCTCCGATGACGGCTTCGATGGCCGCTTCGCTGAGAACGGGCTGCATCAACAGCAGCGAGAGCATACTGTCTCGACCGAAGTAGGTGAGGAAGCGCCATGTGCCAGCCAGCAGCTTGTTCGAGTATGATAGGAATGACAAAGAGGTGGTTTGGTCCGGGTTCTCTGCAATCAAGCCGGAAGACGCGTCGTTGAGAACTTCTTGAGGACTGAGCTGCTCCAGTTGCGCATAGTTGTAAGAGGCTTCGAAGCGGTAGCTACCTTCGCCGAATGTCAAAGTCCAATTCGCCTCGCGATTCAACCTAATGGCTTGAGCGCCATTCAGCGGTGAAAACTTCAGCGTCATAGTAGTCACACCGTCAAACCAGGTACGATTGATGGAGGCGCTCCCGTCGTCGTTGATCGCGAAACCGAAATTATTCTGGAAGTCTTGACTAACGCCTGAGCCTTCGGTCTGGTCGCGAATAGCCCGTATACTACCAAGGATAGGTTGCGTCAGTCTAGCAGTAGTGTTGAATGTGATCGATGCTGACACTCCAACACGATCCGATGCGCTCACTGCCTCTACCGTTTCTCCGTTGTCAGACGTCTCTAGGCTGATGTTCAGACTGCCTTGACCACTCTCAGGCGCGAAGTACGCCATAGCTCCGCTGTTACCAGCAGGCCATGCCACGATAAGCCGAGGCTTGACGACACTGGTGTTGCTATCAGGCCTGGGACTTGTGACGATGACCCCATGGTACTGCGATGACGCAGAGCGAAACGAGCCACTCACGACTTCCGCAACATCGACGACCTTGACGAAAAGATACTCTCACGAATGAGAGAAATCGCAAGTATAATACACTGTTGTGACGATGACATGGGCGCTGGTGTGACAATCAGAATAGAGGTAGTTCTTCTGAGGTCCGTCCTCTAGATAGAGTCTTGAGGCCGCTTCTTCGCATGGCGATGAGAGATCATCGGTCGGCGGAGGTGAGTACGTCGTTGAACTTTGAGGGTAAGCCAGGACGGTAGCTGCTAGGGCCGCTGACCCCAATACTGTAATCGCGACCATTGCAAGTCTAGACTCGTTAGTTGATCGATCCCGCGTGGATGTGAACTTCGTAGAGTAGGCTTCATTACTTACTTGTTAGTTCAGAAGATAGTCTAATGACTTTGCGTGTGGTGAGTAGCTTTTACGCGCACGGTACGTGACAGGAACGATCCGCAGTTCAATCGCAGTAATTGAAGAGCCGTGTATTACGGATAAACCAAATTCATTGGCCTGTATGCAAACGACAGCCTGTCAACATCACTTCTTTTCTGGTTTTTGGTGGCCTTATGTACCTAGGTACGCCGTGTTCCTTCGGCCCTATACGTCTTCTTAGCGACACATTGGCAAGGCACAGTGCTTATTCGACGTCATGGTTGGAGGTTAGTACTCTAAGCCGTTCGTACTCCAAACTGTTATTACTCCAAGCCCCGCGTCCGGTCCAACTATCCTGGGTACGGGTTGCGGGGTCGCTTCGATGTCTTGTTGTGGAGTAGAGGATCGGCGGTTCGTTAGTCTTTGTCCCGGTGAGCTCGCTTGGCTAGCGCTAGGACGCATCTGGTTGAGAGCGTCTCCAGCTCCTGCCAGGGTAGGTGAACATATATCGCGTTGGCACACGAACGAGTGACTGTACCTAACAACGAAACCGTTTGCGAAATAACCGTGATTGGGACAAGGGCGGAGAGGTTCCACTGGGCGGGCATGTGCCAAGGTCGGGGATATCTCTGCTCTGACGCATCGCAGAGTCCTCACAATTCTTGCAACTGCTAAACAACGCTTCCAATGACCAAGTTGACACCTTCAAGCTTGCCATGAATCTTCGAGCTAGGTGCTTGCTTTTGCCTAACTATACACTCGATCCCTTTTCCAGATCTTGGTTTTGTGATGCTCAGGTTCTTGTCACATGTGTAGGCTCAACCTTGGAAGTTCGCGCAGGCGCCTGACAGACGTGTACAATTATTACAGCAGCAAGGTTTCTGTCTACTTATCCACGAACAATCCCAAGACTAGCGCGTGAGTCTTACCGTTCAGGACCTATCCCGCGCAAACAGCGTGTGTTGCCCAGATCCCTAGGTGTGCGCGACCACGCTGCGATCCGCTGTTCAGCAGTTTGTACCGTCGATATAGTATGTTAGATCGCTCATTCTTCCACATACGACCATAGGATCATGAAAATTAGGCTTCCCGTCCGCTCAGCCATATACAAGCATGATACCGGCGGATTAGTAGTTAGGTGGGTGACCACTAGCGAATCCCCGCTGTTGTATGTTTTTGCCAAAAAAGTCTTCTTTTTGCCCATCACGACTTACGCGCCAGTCGAGCACCGATGAGCTCACTCGTACAGGATGTGGCGCGGTTGCTCAGTCCTTCATGTGCGGTGCCGGGGGCGATGATGGCCTCCGCTTTTTGCACCACGGTAGCAGACCCCAAGCGCATGCCTCACCAACCTTCACATGAACATATGCATAAACACCATGGTATCATTCATTCCCATCTACTTCAACTCAACAACCTTCTTCCCCTTCTTCTTCGCCTCAAGCACCGCATCCCTCCACTCCTTAACCCCGTCCAACGCGCCCTCCGGATCCGCCTTCTTCTGCAGTAGATACCCTTGGATCTCCGCGGGCGAAAACACGCCCTCTGGAAGCGCTTCCGCGAACTGCTTCGCCATCTCCGAAAGTTTCTCTGGCGGTAGCGTTGCGAAGTTGGGCTTTGATGGCAGAGCGCCGCTAGTGAGAGGCGAGGAGGTGCCACTCGATGGTCTGACTTTCCTCTTCTTTGTCTTGGAAGATGGGGATTTCGCTTTTTCGTCGTCGCTCTTCTTCTGTGTCTGCGTCGCTAGATCTTCTTCGCGACTGTACATGCGACGGAAGATCTCTTGTATTTGTGTGTTGGTGGCGAGTGTGAATTTGATTTGCAGGTCTACGCGTCCGGGGCGGATGAGTGCTGAGTCGAGCTTTTCGGGGTAGTTTGTTGTCATTATCAGGACGCGGCCTTCGCTGGATGCGGCGCCATCGATGATATTGAGGAGACCGGCGAGGGAGATCTTGCTTTTGCTGCCTTCTTCGTCGGTGGGGGAAGGGACTGGTGGTGGAGGAGGGGGAGGTGTGGGCTTCACGCTAGGTGCTTTTATGCTGGGCGTCTTTACGCTGGGTGCTCGGACGGATGACGCTGCATCGTCTGTGACGAGGGTGGTGGTTTCGCTGTCTGGTTTGGTTATTTTCCGAGGGCGCAGTGTTTGGGTAAGTTTCCGGCGGAAGGACTTCTTCTTCTGGATATCGGTAATGGACTTTTGTTTCGCCTCGACTTTCTTCTCCTCTTTGCTCTCGAGCTTTTCGTCTTTGCTTTCAGCCTTCTCTTCCTCTTCTGCCACGGTATCCTTCGCTTCAGTAGGTGACTTGACTTCCTCTTCCACCTCCGAGACGCGATCTGGTGCTGGTATCTCAGAGGACTTGTCTCGACGGATACCCGCGCTGTCAATATCTTCTAACAAGACGATGCACCGATTTGGCAGCTGGCTGAACAGCATAGCTAGATCCGACTCGGTCATATCACGCTCACTCAAAGAAGCGCAGTAGACGCTGAGCCCGAAGATTCCAGCCACTGCAAAGCTCAAGGATGTTTTGCCGGTACCGGGTGGTCCGTGGAATAGGTATCCTCGTCTGTGGGGAATACCTCGAGCGGCGTACCACCGAGCCGTGGCTGGGTGGAGGTATTCGTTAATGTCTGCAACGACCTTGTCCTTTTGCGTTTCATCCAAGGTCACTGTGCTGATAGGTCGTGAGGGTCGGCTGGATTGGGTGGACCAGTAACCACCGTGTTTAGTCTCCGCTCGCATAATTTCAGTCGTGCTGTTACTCTTGTGCGATGACCATTCCTTGACATGATCTATCAACTCCTTGACGGGCTTCGTGCTGCGACCCATGCAACGGATGATGACAAAGTACTCAATCCGTTCGGCGTACTTGTTCTCTTGCGAATCCTTCCTGAACTGGAAGTAGTGACCATTGTGGGTGAAGCTGTCGTCTCCAAGATTAGGTTCGTAATACACTGGACTAGTACCTTTGTACTTGTCGTAGTTAAATATGCCAGACTCGTCCAAGACGTCTTCATCGTCTGACTCGGGCTCGTCATCAGAGTCTGCGCTATATCGCGTCTTCGGCTTCCTCGAGGTAGCTTTCAAGTCTCTGCTGACTTCCGTCATGCGCTGTTCTGATATCCAGGATATGAACTGGGGGTATAAATCATCATCGTCGTCTATCCGGATGGCGGAGGTGCCATAATCTCTGCATGAACTGTCAGCAGACCGCGGTTGACTGTTAGAGTTATGGACTTACTGCATCCATGTACGCCCCCTGTTGTACAAGAACATGGCTCCTTGGAAGATACCAAATAATAAAAGGTACAGAGACATCGTGCTGCCAACATCGAAACCAATTTTGTTGAGGACCAGCTGGACAATAGCACCGAAGCCAGGAATGTTGATGGCTGCATCTGCGAGGCCAGGAGGTAACGATTCCTTCAGGTTCTCCATGATTATACCAGGCTGGTGGCTTAATCCGCACGTCGAAGGAGTTTTATAAGTGGACGTGTCTTGAGTGAATCCCGATGCGTTTGCTCGCGTAACAAAGCCCCCGGATTAGATGTGTTCAGAGCGAATGTCGATGATTGTTGTAAAGTGGTAGTAGTCCAAGAAGAGACCTGTGATATACTTATTTGTCGCAAGCGCAATTCACCAGGCATCCAGATGATGTATGTTGATTTACCTAATAGCAATTATCGTCATGACTTGGAGTTGAGAAAAAGGGCGGTGGGATGGCAGCCTGAGCTAAAGGAGTGGCTGTGCACATTGTGCAGCCGGTCCAATGCAATCAGCTTCGACATCAGCCTCTCAAGGCTCTGTTAGGAGAAAGCTTCCTCACTGGGGTAACGGTCACCTGCATGGTGCATCCAATGAGTGGAGACCGCATGTGTCTAAAGTGCAGTGGCATCGCTAGGTCAAATGAGAGCGTTCGCGCGCAAACAGCGTGGCTCCAAGCAAGGCTGAGTGGCGTTCACTTTGAATCCCAGGATAAACATCCTTTGCGCACGAAGGGCGACTGAAGTGGCTGAGATGCATGCTGCTGTGGATACGGACGCATCATTGCCGACTTTGGTGAGAAGAACCGGCGACGCCGGTCGTGAAGTGCGGGCTAGCCGGTGAGTCAAACGCCCACCATGGTACCGTAGGGAGGGCGCTGACTCGAAAGCTTAGCGAGGTAGCAGCAAGGCAGCCGCAGGGTTGAGATGTGGTGGGGTTGGTTCATCTGCAGATGGCGAAGTGAGGGCTGTGGCGCACCGGTGGGCTGCAATCCTCCGCATGTTCGGGCTAGCGTATTCCTGTATATGGTCTTGGCATTATACGAGGCGGGCTGTGAGCCCGCTTCAGATTTCACACGTTATTCGCGACTTAGGAGAATGTTGCGCTGTTACTCATGTGCGACAGTTCTTAGAAACGAAATGATGTAGAAGTGGTGATGAGATTCATTGGTAGACATGCCGTCTGGATATCAAACGCCCCTACGCCATTTCTTTTGCCGTACACCTATGCTAGCCTCTCTAGTTACCCA